ATCCTGACTAAGTGGAAATCTTCACAAAACAACAGTTCATATGCAAAATGAGGTACATGCTAAGAGTCAACGTTCGTTCGAAACACGATGTCATACAATTAAATAAAATTAACGTTTAAGCACAAGTAGGTTTATTGGTCTTTGTTTTTTAATTTCGCGCGAAACTACTCGAGGGCTATCTGCACTAGCCGTCCATAATTTTGCCTAGAGAGAAAACATCTAGTCAAAACCATCTACCGCCAACTCTTGGGCTATTCTTACATTATTCAAAAGTAGGGTTGACTGTCGCATTATAGCTACCCCCACCCCATCTCAAACACACACAGCTGAAAAAGCAAACATATTCGGTGACCGTATTCGAACTCGTAAATTGCGAGTCTAACGCCCCAACCATCAGGCCATGACAGGCCTCAAGCGCAACTTAACAACTGGTTTTCACATAATATTTTAGAATGTTTATGTCCTGATATACATACATTTTTACAATTAACTAAAAATTTATAATTTCATCACGATTTTTACTTAGTTTTTTATCTCAATTTGATTTTTCTTTTTCGTTTAATGGTTTGCCAGCATTGATAATATCTTGATTTTAGTACTATGTGAAGTAACAAATACAGACATGCAAACGTTTGGCTTGTTTTGAATTTCACTACTTTATATAAGTAATAATTAAACTTAAAAATTTTAGTCTTTCTATAAATAGAACAGATTAGTGCATATTATGTGTTAAAGCAGAAACCAAAAACTTCGTGTGTTAAAACATTAATTTCCATGATAAACTGTATACAATGCTTTCAATAATTATCAATAAACCATTATAAAAATGCTACATTATGTAAGTAGAATCTGGCTGTATCGAAAATTCAAAACAGGATGAATACGTTATTTTAGATTTTTTAAAAAGATAGAATTTTATGTTTACTAAACTTATTAAAAGAGGATTTGTGTATTTACCTGTTTCACTTTTGACAAGTAATATTGAACATTCGAGTTATGAAAACTAAGTCTTTTACAATTTTCTAATAGATCGTTATTCAAAATAATAGCAGATTAGTAATTAGTTATTATCAGAGATATGCAACTGGACTAAAGCTGAATCTTTTTTAAGTGGTGAGAAGTCGAAATTCCAAGATATTTAAAGGAGCGCCACCTATTGACCGAATATAAATTTTATTAATGTTTTTTTATATATAAAAGACAACCTGCAATTATATATATTGCAGAAACAAATATTTTTGTCCATGAAGCGCTCAGTTAGAAATTCTATGGTTTATAAAGCCGATCTACAGATTTTTGTTAATGTTTGTCTGAATAATTATCGTATTTCACAAATTAATCTTCTATTATAAAATTATATCTTGTCCGTGTAAATATAAGGTTCCTTGTTGATTCACTTGAAAATAAAGTAATATTCATTCACTTTAGATACGCTGTAATTTCGCGCAAAACATCCTGTCATCTTATACTTTAGCGCCCTCTAAACATATCTGTACAACTTGCAGTTCAGTTGATCTTCATTTACTCTAAAAATCAAAATTAGAAATGATGGTCCAAAATAATCAGACCTTTGGTTTTTATCATCAGCAATGAATACTTTGCATCTGTTGCTACTAACTTTACAGCATTGCGTCTCATTTTCTTATATTTTATTTCAAAAGGTAATTTATTCTGGAAAAAACAAACAGTTTTGATGTAATCATGTGCACATGTGTGTGTTAGGCAAGGTATGCCTAAGAAAGAAAGAAAGGTAATTTATTCTGGAAAAACAAACAGTTTTGATGTAATCATGTGCACATGTGTGTTAAGCAAGGCATGCCTAAGAAAAAAGTATAAAATTTAATAGTTACTTAGAAGAACTCTTTGCTAACTAGTCAACACGATAAATGATTCAAGTCTAGTAACGGATCTAGTCCAGTTAATTCATTTTGGTAATACAATAGTTAACTTATGTAACACATACATAAATTAAACTAGTTAAGTTGTACTCACGCATTCATGTCACATCATGACGTAGGATATAAAATGTTGGTTAAACTTATGTAACACATGAGCAAATTAAACGGGTTAAGTTGTACTCACGCATTCATGTAACATCATGACGTAGGATATAAAATGTTGGTGAAACTTATGTAACACATGAACAAATTAAACTGGTTGAGTTGTGCTCACGCATTCATGTAATATCATGACGTAGGATATAAAATGTTGGTGAAACTTATGTAACACATGAACAAATTAAACTGGTTGAGTTGTGCTCACGCATTCATGTAATATCATGACGTAGGATATAAAATGTTGGTTAAACTTATGTAACACATGAACAAATTAAACTGGTTGAGTTGTACTCACGCATTCATGCAACATCATGAAGTTTTTGTTTGTGGTTAAGCACAAAGCTACACAATGAGCTATTTGTGCTGTGCCCACCATGGGTATTGAAACCTGGTTTTTATCGCTATAAGCATTGAGACTTACAGCTGTGCCACTGGAGGCACTCTATGAAGTGACAGACAAACTGTTGTTTACGAACCGATGTAATAATACGGTTAAAATATATTTAGAGTATGTCATTTTTACTCGTTAATTATGCACCTATGTGATGAAAGGATTGAAGTGTAGAGTAGAAAAAACACGTAAATAAGATACAAAACAACAATTGTACACATTTTTTAGTCCTCAACCGAAACAACAGCTCATAAAAAGATTAGTAAAACAGATTTTGATCTCAACATTATATTTTGTAAAGTTAGCGACAGTAAGAAAGTAGAAGGATCCCATATGAACCACAATAAATTAAATGTAATGTTTTCATTTAATTAAGAAATCGTTTTTGAACGTTCTTTCTAAATAATCTTACAGAAATATTTTGTTGATCCGTTGCAGTTTGGAAGTGTTAGTTTAAACTGATTTTTAAAGCATATATTTTGGTAAATTACTGCTAGATAAATTAGCCTACCAGTCAGTGGCGTACTGTTAAATTTTATAGTGCTGGAACCTTGCCAAAATTTGTCAGTCATGTGATATCACTATTAGGGTAAAGGTTTCATATTCAAACCATAATTTCAATGTTTGTAAGTCCGTTTTAAGTAAATGGAATACATGCAACACCAGCTATTTGACACTACCGACATCAGTACAAAATTAAATTTGTATATATTTCCGAGATAATATACACATTTCAACTTCCTTTAACTTAAGGAGCAAGGAAAAAAAACAGTGTGAAAGTCACTAAAGATAGTTTTCAAAACGCATATATTATTAATTTACTAAATTTCTAACTGCGGTACAGTATTACGAACTTTGACTTTTATAATGTTTCGAACACCTTCTGTCCTGCCAAAACAAATAGCTACAAAAAAGGATATCGTCGTTGGATATTGTGTAAATAAGCCTTTAAAATTACGTATTTTAATTTTTGTGTCTTAATAACCACGTTTTAACTCTTTGACATCTACTCTTGAACAGAGGCTGTCACGTGCCTGACGCCAACTCCTGAAGGAGAGTGACAGAGAATATTTTTGGCGATCTGATAGAGCTCTACTAGTGCACATGGGGGAACATATACAGCCAGGGGATTCTCTGATACTCTGAAAGTTTGGTGATCAAAGACACTTCCTTTGTGAACTAAATAACAAATTTTATATATGCATATTTTCAGTTTTTGAAGTGTCGGGACTTATCTCCGATTTCAGGTGCCGGAACACCACTCCTACTCCGGCATCACTGTACCCCTGCTACCGAATAAGGTCTTCGACGACGTGTGTTGATAAATATACTTTTGTATCAATTGTCAGATATTAATAGGTTCCGAAAAGTGAGCCTAAAAATAGTATTCCCCAATTTTCTATATATACATGTGAGGGGTATGGGATTTCAACCACGGGGGGTTTATGAAAATAAAATGCTCATTAACAGCTAGTTGCCGTTGTTTTGGTTGTTGCTTTTTCTAGTTTTGTTAACGACGTCTTTTACCATACTGCTCCGTTTTTGTCATACAGAGTTTCACAGAAGTGTAAACAACATATAAACTTTTTTTTTTAACACGCACAGTACAAATTACGTGCAGGTACTAACTTTCAGTTTCAAGTTTCATTGCGCATGGTTACATACCGAAACATTAGATGTTTAATGCAATAACATAGAGCAAATGAGTTACCTAATGAAAACTGTGGTGAAAAACAAATGTACAACTGAAGTCTAAACTTCCCATTAACTTGACATCATAATTCTTCTTCTTTTTTTTTAAGTATCAACTGTTTTAAAATTTCCTAGCATCATCTAGATTTCTTCACGCAGGTGCAGAAACTTCGTAATGAAATCCCCACAATCAATTCTTTATAACCCTGAAATTTCTTTGTATATTACTCCGTGTTTTAATCGTGTTAAATAATAATTAAAAAAATGTTTTATTACGTTTGAAATTACTGCTACGGTACGTCAGGCATGTAAAATCAAATAAATTATTCATACTAATATGTGTAAAACATAATTTGACTGTAAAAACAGTAACAAAATATATTCTAAACGTCAGTATCGTTGATTTACTTGGATAATAAGTATATAATAGGCAAAGTCCGGTATTATGTGATATTATAAATTCGGAAAGACTTAATCTTAGTTTTCAATGACAAAAGTCCAAAAGCAACAACCACTTTTTGAGCATTCACTTATCAACCAATACTTTGTTGTAATTTTACTTCAATACATTGATTATTGCCATGATCAGTTTTTGTGTCCAACTGACAACAACGCTTCTTGGTTTTCATTATACGACATGCTTGTTTTGTACTATAGCCTGCACTAAATTTGGAGAAAGAGATTTTTTTCAACATTGATAAACACGAATAAAAGCATTTTCTGTGCATTAAAAATAAAAACAAAATATAGATGAAAATATACTTATTTCGCACATGAACAGTGATATACAGTTTGTTATGCACGCCCTTCTGCCAGTTATACATATGTTAATAGAACAGGAAAGCTGCATATATCCTTACCTTTCAGATCAACACACTTCAATACCACCTTACCTCGCCGCCATGGTGACTCACTGCCATCTGGCGATCAATATGACTAAGGTTTAAATATTAATTGGTGCTGCCATCTATAAGCAATCATATACATAATACACCCGAAAGTTTCTAATTTCATCCGAACAAAAACAAAGCATTAGTTCGCATTAAAATTAAGTAATATTGTAATATTAAGTAATAATAGCTAAATCGTTTAGTTAAGTAAAGTCACTACAAATACAAATGGTTGACTTAAACGACTAATAACCAACTGGTTGTTATTCTTCTCTAGCAGTCGTTTCGCTCTACCTTCTACCACGTAATCAAACAAAACAAGTAGTTGTAATTCTTCTCCAGCAGTCGTTTCGCTCCACGTAACCAATAAACACAAGTAGTTGTAATTTTCCTCTAGCAGTCGTTTCGCTCCACCTTCTACCACGTAACCAATCAACACAATATTAGTCAGTGTTCAAATGAGTATTTTAGTGCAATTAAAATCAAATATCCAGTTTCATGTTCATCTGAGAGCAGTATGACATATGTTTACGCTTTACATTGTCAAAAGAATGGCATTAAAAGCCATGGTTTTTATTGAAATTTGACAAACAAATTGATAGTAAACAATATAGGAAAGCTTCCGAATGAACGGATAGAACCTACAAAATAAGTACACTCAGAAAAAAAATATATTAGTTATCCTTATGCTAGTCTATTAACATGTATAGAAAGTTCTTAGTTAGAAAGTTATCTCAAACAACAACAAATTACCTTAGTTGACACTCAAAGCAGCAAAGGGCTGTTGGGAAAATAGAGCTCACAGTTAAAACAAGTCCCTCACTTAATCAAAAGTTCAAGTATCTTTTATCAACGACGTGCACAAGGCTCAGTCTACCATTAGAAACCCGTTAGACAAATTGAACTGCAGACTTCAATGAATTCTAGATTTCTTTTGTATTCCTTAAGGCTTAAAAAAGCTAAATAAACCAGCTTGCTTATTTTTCTTTTCTTTGTAGCGAATAATCTTTTTCTGTTAACAAAAACATATGGCTAATTAAGGCACATGTTAGTAAAATTACTTTCGCTTTCTTAGACACTGACTAGAATAGAATAAAACTGAAAATATTAAAGTTTCAGTAGTCTAAAGAGGTTTCGTCACTTTAAAGCCAATGTGACAAAGACATGAAATTCGAAATATTTTTCATACATGTTACACTATCGGTTTATCCTTATAAAAAATAGGTTAACTGTGAAAAAAAGAAAGAAAAACTTCTGCAGCTAACTCGTTTTTATGACAATTTGTTTTAGGCTTATTGGTTTCTCAATATTTCGCCGCCCTTCGGCGTTTAATTGATATAACCTGTTAGCATTAAAATATAAATAGTTCGTCGGCTAATTAAGTAATTTATTGTTTTTCAATGTACTGCAAAAAATTATCATCTTTTCCGTCCTTACTTTCATACGCGAGTTTAAAAGTTTTCCTGTCAGTTATTGGTAGGACTATTTTCATTTCTAGTTGCTCAACTTTTGACTTTCTAGAAACCCTCATGCCAAATTTGGTGAAATCCATCAACAGGGGGCGAAGTAGTGGTATAAAAACGCAAAAGCAGCAAAATCCGATTTTTATCGTTGTAAGCCTGCAGAATTTCCGCTGAGTCAATTTATAGGTGACTGAAAGTTCAGCAGAACGGTAATAAATATTCGTTTCACATCATAAACTTTATATGGAATAAACAGTTAAAAGTTGGTCCAACGATACATTTCGTTTCTTTCAGATACTTTTTTACATATATCACAAATGCTTCTCGATGCTTAAAATATATTTACATTATGTATGTTTTCAAACGAAATAACTTATATAAATTATCTACGTGATCCAACATTCACATAATTACAAAAAGTTCTTTGAGTATATAAAGTCCTTAACTCGATCGAGTTGTTGCTGAATAAAAGTTGATTTTGTGTGAGAAAAAATATAATGTTCCTATAATCCTTATCTTGTTCATTATGGTTTCATCCTCCTCTCTGGCAGTGACAAAGTTCATTATGGTTTCATCCTCTTCTCTGACAGTGACAAAGTTCATTCTGATTTCATTCTTCTCTCTGGCAGTGACAAAATGTGTGTGTGTGTGTGTTTTCCTGTAGCAACGCCACATTGGGCTATATGCTGTGTCCACCGAGGGGAATCAAACCCTTGATTTTAGCATTGTAAATCTGTAGACTTACCACTGTCCCACCGGGGGACAGTGACAAAGTTCATTATGGTTTCGTCCTTTTCTTTGGCAGTGATAAAATATCTTGCAATAATACTCAAACGGTAACAACGATTAATTGAGTTTGTTTGTTTGTTGAATTTAGGACAAAGCTATTCGAGGGATATTTGCGCTAGACGTCCCTAATTAGAAGTGATATATTAGAATGAAGGTAACTAGCCAACATAACCCACCGCTAACTCTTGGACTACTCTTTTACCAATGAAAAATTTGATTGGCCGTCATATAACAGCTCCATGGTTGAAAGGGCGAGTATTTTCGATGATGAGATTGCGATTCGAGCGCCCTAACCACCAGGCCCGATCAATTAAAAATGCCCCAAATCTGTCAGTTTTTCTTCTCTTTTTTTGTCTTTATCTCTCACTAGAGGGCTTAATATTAGAGTAATCTCTGAGCAAGACTGGCTGATATATTGAGCTTCATGTATTTTGAGCGAATACTAAAAACTAAAGAACCAATGAGCGTTTTATTTTGAAAATTTTTCAACACCATTTCCATTTATTTTTATTATTACAAGGAATGATAACGTTTCTTCTCTATGTTTCAATAGTAAATTGTAAAAAAAATATTATATCCTAATCACACTTACAAGTTGATAGTAATAAAAAAGATTGATACAATGCACATTATTCAAATAGATAACACTTGTTAAAACTTTTCAAACTACTTCCACATAGAAAACGTAATTCACTTTAAAGTAACGTGGCAAACTTTAAACATTTGTCTTTAAAAAATAACATAAGCTATACATAAATACCCATGGTACATCCAATCAACTGTTGGTATAATTCTGTAAATCACAAAAAAATATAAAGATAAAATAAGCTATACAAACGTACCCTTAGTAACTCCGCCCAACTGTTGGTATAATTCTGTAAATCACAAAGATAAACATAAAGATAACGTAAGTTATACACAAGTACCCATGGTAAGTCCGCTCAACTATTGGTATAATTCTGTAAATCACAAAGATAACGTAAGTTATACACAAGTACCCATGGTTAATCCGCCCAATTGTTGGTAAAGTTCTGTAAATCACAAAAACAAATTAAATATAACATGAGTTATACACAGGTACCCCTCGTAAATACGCTCAATTGTTGGTATAATTCTGTAAATCACAAGAACAACATAAAGATAACATAAGAATAATATCTGTTAGCTTAATCGAATTCTATCAACAGTAGTCCTAATACTTTGTAAAATTTATATTTTGAATTTTGAAATGTGTATGTTTCTTCACCAAATGGTTCCTATAACAACAGCATCAATTCATCCAAAAGACGGTTTTAGAGTTTTATAAGGAACAAATATAATGAAAGTTTGATTGCTGTGGAAAACGATAAGCTGTTGAAAAATGCTTTTTAGTAGTAATAATCACACAAATTGTTTTAGAATTTTCACGAAAAGCTACACATAAAAAGGCTACATGCGCACAGTCAACCTTACTGATAGATTTAAAATAGTCAACAGGAACGACATACGTTTATTGCTATATAATAAAATGTGACTTGCTAAACCTGTAGAGAAAAGATGGAAGTATGAAAACCTGAATGACCTACATTCGGTATATTCACAAATACTTTCTGCTATACAGGGAAAAACATTATCTTAAAGATATTAGCACAATTCTAATTATTTAGTGGGTTTTCCAATTCGTACAGTAAGTGTTATTCAATCTGTATTTTCGTGGCCTTAAAATAAAACAAATAATATAAAACATTTTGTAAACGTAAAATGATGTAAGGATGGCAGTGCCAAAAAGCATGAAAACAAGATTACAAGGACGATACAGTTATACATAGATCATTCTTACATGACTTTCAATATTAAAATGTTCGAGTACAAAATGGTTACTAGGTGTGTAAGGTCTGAATACGCTAGCACTTCACTAATAACACGTGACAAAAACACTGACACTGTTTTTCCTTCTTGTGTTTATTGATAACAGAGTATGTTATTTGTGTTAACCCTGTTGTATAGCCGTCACAAGCTCACGTATTGTGTCATCATTCAACTTAACTGTCAAAATAATTGATGATGACAAGGAACCCACTTGAAGTAAATGTATTTATAGCAGAGACGGTTGATATGGGTTTTAAAAACTTTTATTTAAAAACATAAAACAAGTAACAACGTTTTGACCTCCTTAGGTCATCGTCAAGTTCTTTACACTACAGTGTGAAACTGTAGGCTCTGACTTTGTGTTCCACATCCAACATAAATTAATATAAATAACCTCAGTAAACTTGAAGAAGTTTTCAATTAATCAAAAAAATAACAATCAACTACAGGTGAATTCGTATTTTAATTCAAATTGTACTTGTTGGCTTCGAATCAAAACCCCATTTAAAATAACTTGTTTAATGTTCTCACGAGAGAGAGCAGCACCTGTCATGTTGTGTGTTGCCTGACACACATCAGTCTAGAGTCGACTCTAGAAAATAAATTAATAATTGCAAAGATGCACAAAAGGCCATATGTGGTGTTCCCGTCGCACGGCCTCACTCAAGTTTACTGCTGGGAACAATAAATATGTAAACAATATTTTAAATGAATGTCCGTGCTGTTATCCTAGTGACAATATTTATGTACTAAACTAAAAAATACTTCGGAAATTAAACGCACTGTTACTTCTTTTCTGTTGCATTAGAAATGCAAAATAAATAGCATTATATAACAAGTCTAAATTTTGTACTGTGGCTACACTGTTATGAGCAGTATGCGTAAAACTAAAGGAGTTGCCATGCTAATGGTT